GGTAGGACTCGTGGCCCGGCGGGCGCCTTTTGTCCCGCGGCCTTTCCCTAGGCCCGTGCCCCGCCGGAGGGGAAGGTGGGCAGGTGGTGCTTTCTGGGGTCCCTTGGTTCGGCTCCTTGCTCCTGCTTGTTCCCTGCCGCCGCGTCTCTGTGCCGATCGTGGCTGGGCTAAAATGGCCTGTTTGGTTGTTTTCAGCTTAATGCTACAGAAAAGAGAAGTCGCCAGAAAGATTTTAGTGATTCAGAAGGAGAAAATGAAGCAAAAGGTAAACTGTTGGTTAAAAAGCCAGCCTGGGTGGATGAAGATGATGAAGCTGAGGAGAAGTAAGTTCAAGTTTGCGGGGAAGAATTGTGTGTCACACTTAAGAGTCACTATAAGTGACTGCAGTTTGTATGATTTCCATGTTCTGTGTGTTTTTTTCCTTCTAGCGTTGATATGACCCATAAGTATAGGAAAGACTTCATGAAAAGTGATGCTGAGAAGACACTTACTAAGAAAAACTTAAAAAGACGACTTGAAGAACAGTGAGTTTTATTAATGTTTTTGTAGCTAACTTTATGAAGATGATACATTTATGTGATGCTCAGTCACTTTTATGCACCCTAGTCACGTGGCCTGTTTAAAGCGAGTGCTTCTTACTAATTTGCAGTGTTTTAAAATGTAAAATAACACTAAGAATAACATAAAATGTGTATTAGCAATGTCTAGACTAATTTGCGTAATACTTCTTCTAGTAGAGGTGCGCAAACTGATTTGTCTTCTAGGGAGTTATACCAGAAATTTGTTAGTGGTGCATTGTTTTGGAAGTAGGATGATGGAAAATGCTAAATGGTATTTAGGAGTGAGTTGATGCAGGAAAATAGTCAGATAGCAGAACAGAACTTTAGATGTGCTTATGTTGCCTTAGTATTGGAATGTATTGCTTCAAAGAACAGTGCTTTAATGTTTGGAATCAATTTTGCTTTAGCTTTCAGGCAGTCAGCAAAATACAAAGCTGAGTGAAATTTGAGAGAACTTGCAGAGTGTTCTAAGTGCAAATAATCTTGCAAAACTGTGACTGTACATCTTGTAAGTACTGAATACGTAGTAGGAAATTACTTTCTCAAAGTTGGGTTTTTTCCTCTTCCCCCCTTACTCTTTTGCTAGGTTTCAGCGAGCTATGGGAGGAGTTCCTGCCTGGGCTGATTTAGAAAACAGGAAGAAATCCAAAAAGGCTGCAAGTGATAGTAAATATTTATTATTCTAATAAGTGTTGCTGTGTTTTCCTATTCAGCTTCTTAAAAAATAATTATTTTTGATTTTTTTTTGTTTCATCAGTGTGATAATAGGCTGGATAAGTTGGCTTTATTCCTTCCTTTCTTTAGCGTGCTTTGATTTAATTTGTTTCTGTAAGGAATTTTGTAGGTTTTGATGTGGGAGTGTTTGTGGAATTAGCTTTTTTTGAAGTGTTTTGTCTTCATCAGGTGACAGTGATGAAGATGATGATTTGCTCTGCAGGACTGGCAATTTCATATCAAGATCGGAGTCCCTGCCAAGAGGTATTTTGAAGGTAAAGGGAAGTCTGTCTTTTCACCCCAATTTGACCCATATGCGTGCTTTGATGTCTTTGTTGCTAGTTGGGCAGTAAAGTTAGTGGTTGTATGAATTTGTTTTGTTTGTTTCTGTAACTGGAGTGGTTAAAGAGTAAACAATTGGACGAATTGGATAGTTTACATCACAAAAACATGAAACTATACATTGAAGTGTGTTGTATAACATAAGTATTACTTCATGTACTCTAAAGTAGCATCTTGTAGTAGAGTTTTCATTTTTGCTTAGGAAAGATGGAGTGCTCCCACAACTTTGAGGCTACTGAAATGGTCTTTGACAAGGGAGAGCCGTAAAGGAGTGTTTCTTACACTGTCTTTTTACGGCTACTTCAGATGAATTGGAATGTTACTGGTGATACATAGACTGTTAACTTTGAAGTCAGAAGAAAGGCTAGCTGGCTTATCTTCTATCTGTGACTATGTTCTGCTTATGTCATGCTGTCTGAAAGCTCACCATACAGTTTGAGATCTTGCTTTTGTAGAATGAAGAAAAATTAAATTGGCTGTCCATCAGCATAAGGGAAAATGTGTAAGTTGTATTATTTTTCAACTACTTGATCTTTGTTCTAGTTGAGCACCTGCTTGCCTGCTAATCAGGAACGCTTTGCTAATGGAAAACTGGCAACTGTGCAGTTTCATCCATCTGCTCAAGTAGTCATGACTGCTGGACACGACCGATCTGTGTCACTCTTTCAGGTGAAGAATTTCAGTCTGTACTGTGTAAATGGCCATTTATATGTAAACCTTTTTATAAGTATACCTGAGAGAGCCTGGAATGATAGACTTTGTCTCTCTCTTCCTGTGAGGGTCTGCTCACAGGGTTGGTAATGTCTGTGGTTACAATGGAATTTGCTTGGCTGAAGGCTTCTTGTTGGAGGGGATTTCCATCTATGACTTCATATGAACCACTTAGAGTACAGGCAAACTTTGTATCAAAGTTTTTAGTTGAAGAATTGCTTTTAAAATTATGTTTGGTTTTATACAGTGACACATTAATGAGGGGCTTTTTTTTTTTCTTAAGTTGTTTGTAAAACTTGTAGTGTGGGGAGCAGTCCATTTCCACTTAAAACTGTAATGTTGCTGTGAAATAATTCTGGGGGTGGAGAGACTACTGCAGCAGGAAGCTACTCATCCTGGGACACTTCTGCCTTTCTCCTCTGCAAACTAAAGATCACAACTCTATAGGAACTGTCAACATGGCCCAGTGTCAGTGAAATGGTCAGAGACACAGTCAAATTGGACACTTCCACAGGGCTGCAGGAAAGGGCAGTACAAAGCAGATGTTTCCATTTCCAAAGCACAGTAGAAGGATTATTTGCCCAAAGCATGGGCAAGACAGACAAGGGTACGAGGTGCGAATTATATCGGGGAAGGCCTAGGAGTGGAGTGCCTGATACCTGGCTCTTCTTTTCTCGCCCTATGTTACATGTAGGTTGAGAGGAAGAGACTAATGCTTCAAACGGGTGTACCTCTTACTGTTTAAGTCTCTTGTACTGGCTAGTTGAAATGATTTTTCTGTGTTAAAGCATTTGGTGTGTTCCTTAATATTAAATATTTACTTTTATTTTGTTTGGAAGGTTGATGGTGTAAGGAATCCAAGAATACAGAGCATCTATTTAGAGAGTTTTCCAATTTATAAGGCTTGTTTCAGTGTTGATGGAGAACAAGTTATAGCCACTGGGACTCACCATAAAATGTTCTTTGTGTATGACATGATGAGTGGAAGTATTATTCCTATACAGAAAGTAAGAGGTAAGTTCTATAGTCCTGTGTCTGGTCATGGTTGAAGCTGTTCCAAATAGTGAGGGCATATGAATAGAGGGAGGTGTGGTGAACTGTTGGAGGTCATGTTTTTAACTTGTCTTTAGGGATCTTTACTTGAGTACCTTTAGCTATCATTTTTCTGGGCTATTCAAACTTGACACACAAACAGCATTGAGTTTGCAGCTTTTCTGTGACAGTGTATTGCAGAAATGAAAAGCTGAAAGTGGAGTCAGCTCTTACTGATATTCTTCATACCTTTGAATGGTGAGAAAAAAGAATAAATGATGCCAATTTGGTGTTCTGAATCTCTTTTTAAAGGTGTGGAGGAAAGATTTCTCCGAAGCTTTGAGGTCTCTCCAGATGGATCGTTTATGCTTGTAACTGGAACTTCAGGTTACCTTCACTTGTTGTCAATGAAGGTAGTTTCTCTTCATGGTTCATGTAGCTTCACTTTCTTGGTACCTTTTTCCTCTTAAATCCCCTTACTTATGTTTAATGTGTAAAGCAATCTAGTTTTCAGTTGAAACAAAGGTACTGTGACAGCCTTTGAAAATGAGCTGCTGAATCAACTTAACTGTAGCTTTAGAAAGTTATTTTGGGGTGCCGGAGAATGTCTGATTAGACAGTTCTCTTTGGGGCTGGTGGAGCTAAGGGCAGAGTTTCACGGGGTTTTAATCTCTTGTGTGTCAAGGCTGATGGCAACACTGTGCTGGCAAAAGGAGTGGCCTCAGCCTGGAAATAGGCATCTGAGGGTGGAAAAAATATAGGACTGCTTTTTTGGGAATAGCACTAGTGCGTGCTGATGTACCGTGTTCGTGATTCATACCATCTACTGTGATTTGTAATGCATATAGAACTTTCTGAGTTAAATTTTAAAATGCCATATGATGGCAGCTGGATTTGTTGGAAACTTTTACTAGGGGAAATACTTTTAAAAAGAAAGCTAAGTTCTGTTGTGTGACACAAACCCTTCAGCAAGGGAGCGAATGAGTGTTCCGTGAACCAGCTGTGGTTGTGCAAAAATGGATTGATCATGGGCTCGTGGGCATCAGCTTGTGCTCTGGTGTGCAGGCACTGAAGATGCTGATGCTGTTCTTCCTATGTCAGTGTAGCTAACTGGAGGTTCTTGTGGGAACAAGATGGAAACAACTTGCCTACAGATTTTTGGCAGAATCATAGTCATCATTGTTGTTCTTCATCCTATAGACAAAGGAACTGATTAGCACTATGAAGGTAAATGGAAGATGTGCTGCATCTGCTTTCACTCCAGACAGCAGGAAAATATACAGCTATTCAAGTAAGTAATTTCTCTGACATTACTAATCACATCCCACTTGAATAAGTTTTTATAAGTAATGTATTATGTTATGAAGATAACCAAAAGACTTCATGCCAGTATCTGGCCTAAAAATACAACCAAGTGATCAACTATGAAAGAATGGAGTTAATTCTTTTATTATGCCTTTAGTTGTTGTTTTTTTTTTTAATGCCCTATATTTGTTAGTTGTAAATGAGCTAATAGTTGTCATGTAATGAAATTAGGCAATGTGTTCTGTATACATGGTTTCTATAATCTTCTATTTCATCCTGCTACCAGAGGAAGGTGAAGTTTTCATCTGGGATGTGAGAAGCAGAAAAAGTCTCCACAAATTTGAAGATGAAGGGTCTTTGGAAGGGAAGTGCATCGCTGTTTCAAAAAATAACCAGTATGTGGCATGTGGGTAAGTGTCTTAGGGTTGACAACTTCTTCCTATCTCGTTTTGAAGCTCTTCAGTAAACTTACTAGTGGCTGGTAACACTTACTACCAGTATCATTCCTAATGTATTACTGTTGCCGTATATGGGTTTAGCAGTTAATTTTGAAACCATACTGACTGAAGTCACAAATTCTGTAGTATGAATATTGATTCAGAGTCTTCCCCCTTTTCTAGTTGTCTTTCCTCTACTGGTAGTTTGGCCTCTGCAATATGCCATGTTAGCATTTGCTCAACTCACAGCCACAAGCTTGAAAGTGTACTTATGAAATGCAACTTCAGCTAATGTATCGATTGTTTTACATGAGACCAGCAAGTATTTAAGTACAGCATGCATTTTGTTAGCCCTCTGTTGGAGAGGATTTTTAGGTGGACTGTTACCTGAACTCTACAGGATATGGGAAAAAAAAATATCATTAAAGCTTGAAACTGTCACATCTTTTGATATCAAGCCCTCATTGCTTTGGATTCATTCTGTGTGAGAGGTGGGCTTACCAAGGCTCTCCACAGTTAAGTGTCTCTTGCATATAAATAAAAAACCCCAAACCTCTCCTAAATACAGTTAAAAATTCCAAAGCAAAATCAAGCTCCAGGTGAAACACAATTTCAAACTCCAGAAAATAATTGGGAAATACCTTTTTTAGTTGAATGGTGGCTGTTGATAGCAAGGTAATACGTACTGTAAATGTTACTCCGTGGTATGGTCTTTAATTCCTTTTTTTTTTTTTAGTTCAGCTTCTGGAGTTGTAAATTTATATACTACTGATACGTGTCTCAAAGACACCCGTCCTAAACCAGTTAAAGCCATAATGAACCTAGTTACGTCTGCTACGTGTGTGACCTTCAATCCCACCACGGAAATACTGGCAGTGGCTTCCCGTGAAACTGATGAGGCTGTCAAATTGGTATGTATGTTCAGCTGCTTTAGTACAAGTTTCTTTGTATCTTGATTTAAAAAAAAGTTTCTGGTGAGATAATAAAACTGATATTGATAAGGGATGTGTGCTGCAAAATTTGCTAGACCGAGCAGAGCAGAACATGTGCAAGAAACTGCATTTATAAGGGAGTAATTATTTATTCAGGGAAGTTGTTCTGAAAATAATGTCTTATGGTCCAGCTTACCTTTTGTTTTTCCCTTTTTAAAATGCCCTAATTCCAGTGCTGTGTATGTAACTTAGCGACAAATGTGGATTTTCAGCAGCTGTTAAATGTACCAGTCTTACTATGTGGTGTTCTCCCTGGCTCATTCAGATTTTTGCCTGCCTTGTCAGAATTCTGGCCAGCAGTGGAACTGTTGAATTAATCTCAGGGTTTGGAAGTCTATTTTTACTGCTTAGATGTAATCAATAAAAAATGAATCGGTTGCAGTAGTTAGCTTTGTCTTGTGTTCCCTGCACCCTTTCTCTAGTAGAACTAGAGTGGTGTGGGATAAGGGAATATAACTGAACTTTTGAACTTAACGTTGACCTTCAACTTTCAATTTGTACTTTAATTTGAATTTTAGGGGCTTTTTCCTAGTTGTTGTAACTACTGACCTATTTCTCAACAGGTGCATATTCCTTCATATACTGTGTTCTCGAACTTCCCAGTTTTCAGAAGAAAACAGATTTATCTTGCTCAATCCATGGACTTCTCTCCCAGAAGTGGCTTTTTCTCTGTAGGAAATAACAAAGGCAAAGCTTTGTTATTCAGGTACGTACCAAGTTAGGTTCAGGAGTCCCAGGTAACATGAGGCAGGTAAATGGTTTGACTTTGTGATTTGGATTTCACCTCATGACTTAATGGATGGCTTTCCTATCTGGAGGATGAGCCCTGATTATTGTCTGCTTATAAAACACACATTGCTGCAGACATCCCTGTCAAAACTGTCATCCTTTTCTGAAATAACTGGGATACAAAAGGCAGATACTGGATGTTCTCCTCATTAAAAAACAGGTCAGAGGGCGGAAAGCAGATCCGTGTTTGTGTTACACCTGTATCGGGCGTGGGTTTGGTCTGGTTTAAAGACAGTGTGAGTGGCGTCCCTGAGGGAGGGTGACTGAACGCTGGCACAACTGCTCAGGTTGTGGGGACACCATCCTTGGCTATTTGGAGGCTGTCTGCACATGGTTGAGGGCAGCTGCCTCTGGGTGACCCTGCTTTGAGCAGGGGAGTCTCCGGCGATCCCTTCCGACCTCAGCCGTTCTGCGATCCTGTGGTTAACGCCCGGTGAGGTTGGAAGGCCGCTGCGTGTGCTGGGTAGTGCACGTGGCAAGACGTCGTGGTGTATTGCGAGGGCAGGAGTAAACCTATTTTCTTGCCAGCTTACAGTTAGATTCTAAAGTGTTATTTTGATGTGGAACTCCAATTTGGTGGTTGATGTCTGGAATGGAGGTGGTGTGGGGCTTTTCCTGCTGGTGTGGTCAGGGGTGAGGAGCGGTAATAACTCAGCCAGGAATCTTTTTTAAACTAAGTAACTTTATGTGATACTTGAAAAACTCTGTTTTTTTTAATGTGAGATATTAATGATTTGTGAAGGCTGGCAGGGAGAATTTACCAAGAGTCCCAAGCAAGTCTATAAAATGTGAATAAGTTTTGTGATTTGGCCTTTATTTGAACTTGGATTGCCTGTTATAATGACACTTCAAGCACATCTAGCATGTGGATGATTGGCATCTTTAGCTACAACTATGTTGAAGATCAGCTAAGAATACTCAAAGTGACACTACTGGGTAGTTACTGCTTCTTTGTGTTCACTCAGGACGTTACTGAGAAGTTTTAAATCTGTCAACCTTTTTTTCCTTCAGACTGAAACATTATTCAGATTTTTAAAAGAAGATCCAGGAGAAAATGGACCAGTAGCAGGTAAAAGTAGCACTGAAACTGCTGACAGCCTTGTCTTGATGAACCTGATGTTCATTTTGCTGCTTCCATCTCTTCATAAATGGCAACAAGAAGTTTTTAATACAGTGTAATCTGAAATTGTTCTGCCTGGGTCTGTTGTGTAGTAGGCGCCACGTGATGGGCTGGAGTCAGACTTGTCTTGTCAATCTCAGCTTTTCTAATAATACTCTTATAGGGAATTGGAAGTTCAACTAAACTTCTGCTTAGTCCTGGTGACAGTTTTAAAAATCTGAATGTATTTAAGTGGAACTCGGAGGCAGTGTTGTTAACAACACCTGCAGGCTAGCAGACGCTTGGCTTGATCCTGTTCTGAAGTTGTAGAAGTGAGCCCACACGAGTCTGCGTAACTTCAAATTTAGATTAATAAATTACTGAAGTTTGAAGCGTAGCTTGTGCACAAGTAGGATTTTATTGTGCACTTTCACCTCTTCTTGGGAAACTGGGAAGACCTTGACAGTAATACAGTAGTTCTGTTTGTTCAGTTTTGTGCTGGCAGCCCAGAAAGCCAACTGTATCCTGGGCTGTATCCAGAGCAGCGTGGGCAGCAGGGTGAGGGAGGGGATTCTGCCCCTCTACTCTGCTCTTGTGAGACCTCACCTGGAGTGCTGCATCCAGCTGTGGAGCCCTCAACAACAGAAGGACATAGACCAGTTGGAGTGAGTCCAGAGGAGGACAGGAAGAAGCTCAGAGGGCTGGAGCCCCTCTGCTATGGGGACAGGCTGAGAGAGTTTGGCTTGTTCAGCCTGGAGAAAGGAAGGCTTTTTCCAAGGGCCTGTAGCGACAGGACAAGGGGTAATGGGTTTAAATTGAAAGTGGGGAGGTTTAGATTGGATATCAGGAAGAAGTTCTTCCTGGAGAGGGTGGGGAGGCACTGGGACAGGTTGCCCAGAGAAGCTGTGGATGCCCCATCCCTGGAAGTGTCCAAGGCCAGGCTGGATGAGGCTTGGAGGGTCTGGTGGAAGGTGTCCCGGCCCATGGCAGGGGGGTTAGAACTAGATGCTCTTTAAGGTCCCTTCCAACCCAAACCATTCCATGATTCTATGATCCAGAATGTGTTAATGATTGGAAGTGAAAGTCCTTCAGACCGGAAACAAGTATGTCTTCTGTTAAGCTTGCATAAAAGTTTGTGATGGCTAATGTTTGGAAGACACTAACAAAATTCTGTCTTGATCTTTCCCCAGGTGTTGTAACCTGCAGATACAAGTATGCTGTCAAAACCAAACAAGTTTATTTCTTACGGAAGTTGAAAAATACCAACACAACATCTCTGGTTTGGAATGTTGTTCCTTAATAAACGTACCTGCTAAGTTTCCAGAAAAGTTGTTTCAGCTTCTTCCAATGTTTTGTGTAGACAAATGACTGAGTAGAGTTTTAAGGCTGACGTGTTCAAGCAATGCTGAAATGGCTTTAGTTATTATAAGCATGTGAAGTATTACAATGCTGAAACAGTAAAATTGGGTTTTTGCGAGCTGCAACTTTTGCTCCACGCGTTTAGCTTGAGCTTTCCCATCAGTCAGGTTCATTTGAGGTTGGGTTGGAAACAACATTTCGCTGACTGGAGGAGCTAATTAACCTGTAACTGTTGATTCAGGCGGGGGTAGTTCAGCCCGACTTGGTGGACCAGCTATAGCTTAAAGATAGCCTAAAGGGAAACGCAAGAAACACCACCCCTGGTTGTGCTTACTGCCTCTTATGTGTCACAGAAACAATGGCATGTAAGATGGTTTTAATTTGTAAGGAAGAGCCCATTCTTACCGTTCTGTGAAAGCAAAGCATCCTAAGTATCACATACTCGAATTTTAAATCAGTTGTGCAATTCTGATGCCTTTGGGCTCACCTATCAAGGTCTGCTTTGCTGCAGTTGTCGCCTTTTCTTCATCTGACGCAAAATACCACGCTTCCCATCGCTTTGTTCCTGAAGTGGCCACCTCTCTCTTTCCAACTGCATGAACGAGAAGTTGGTGAGGAGTTTGCTACAATCAAAAGTCTGCTTGGGAAATAAACTGTAACTAATACATCTGTCCACTTCACGGGAGGGAACTCTCTGGACAGTAGTGTAAATTGTAAATATAGGAGGCTACAGCTAAATTTTTGTCATAATGTTTGAAAAAAAATAGAATGCTGTGTTTTCTGGTGTAATGGGGTTTTAAAATGGCTTTGCCAGTGATTCCTTGTAAGATGAGAACTTGATTTCACAAGCAGGAATCCAAAAGCAGAATATGCTCTGGGAGTGTTGACGGCAGTGTTTAATCTGGTGGCAGTGCTAAACCTACACGGAAGACCCTAGTATGGAAGAGTAAAATCAGAACACTTCATTAAGTTGCTTGCTGTAGGATTCTTCTGTTACAGACAGCCCCAGCTAAAGTCTGCCTGGGATTGAGGTTTTAATTTCAGAAATCCGGGGTTTATGGCCTCTGATTCGCTAGAGGGCAGCACTTAATCACTTGTTCGGAGATGAGCGCTTCGTGTTCCTGAGGACTGTGTCCCATGAGATCGCTGCCGAGGGGTGAGGTCTTGGTTGTGGTTACCAGCTCCATTCACCTTCATTAAATCATCTCTGTGTTTCACCCTTAGGGAGGTCTTTCACCAACTTTCGCTGTAGTAGCTGTGAACTGTTTTAATACTGTTTAATCAGCCTGTGCCTGTCTTTGCACAGTATGTGTTTCTCCACTTTACTCCAAAAATCTCAAATTGAGTGATTCAAAGCCAAAATCCAAGTCATTAAGTGATCTAGAATTAGAACTTGAGAATTAATGGGTTCCTGGACATGTTACTGTAGATGCAACTGTTTCTATATTCCTGCCCATCCTGCTGATTTGGAGTTGTAAGAGGTCCAGGTGGGATGGACTTCTCCACTTTACTCCAAAAAATCCCAAATTGAGTGATTCAAAGCCAAAACCCAAGTCATTAACTGATCTAGAATTAGAATTTGAGAATTAGTGGGTTCCTGGACATGTTACCGTAAACACAACGGTTTCTATGTTCCTGCTTATCCTGCTGATTTCGGGTTGTAAGAGGTCCAGGTGGGATGGAGCAGGAGAGTAAATGGAAGAAGTGGTGTAAGATGGACTGAGGTGCTGTGTATTCTTGTATCACTAAATGTTTTCAGATGGTGACAGGAAGGAGAGATTAAATACTTCTTTTTGCACATTCGATGATGTAGAGTGCAGAAATGGAAGAAGTGTTGTAAGATGGACTGAGGTGCTGTGTACTCTGGTATCACTGTAAATGTTTTCAGATGGTGACAGGAAGGAGAGATTAAATACTTCTTTTTGCACATTCGATGATGTAGGTTGCAGAAATTAAGCTCCATACTGAGTTTCGGGGGCCACTGCAGTGCAAGAATGTTTAAGCTTTATACTAAATACATTAATTCTTGCTGTTGCATTTTTGTCTTCTGGAAGACGCAACTTATTGCCCTGCCCAGTATAAAACAGGGGAGACTTTCACCTGGGGAGATAAAGGAAACCTCAAAGTGCTTGTTGCTTTGTTGGATTTTGAGCGGTGACACTTTAATTTACTAAATAGGTCTTAAAGGTTGGATGGTAGGAGGTATTGCAAACTGTTGAAACTGTTACTGGTGTGTCCAGGGATCTTTATTTGCAGTGGGATAAATTACTATTAAGTTCATATATCACTGCACTCTCGTTGTGAAGAACTCAGCTCTTTGTCAGTTGGCCATGTGTAAGGGGGCTTAAGCGTCTGACCTATTTAAAACCTCTTTGTGTTTAATTCCTCTTTTCCTGGCATGGCTTTTTTTCTGGCATTGCAAAGCTGATGTTCTTTTAATGAATTATTTCTCTGCTTTTCCTCTCCTTCCATTCTCCTTGGCAAAATAAATTTTATTGATGTAGCCCATTAAATATTTATGACCGCAGCCTTTCCCCTTCAGGCTGTGATCTTGTCCAATTTTGCAAGATGAAGAGCATTAGTCTGGTTAGTGCTTAGAAGGGAAACCTCTGAGGGGGAAAAAACCTGACTAGATGTTGGAGTAATGTTGGTGATGCGTCACGAAAGGGGGACTACACCAAGTGGTTTACGCCGCTTAAAAGATCAGCATCAAATATTAGGGGAAAAGGTTTTATTTTTAACATGAATTTGTGAGAAAGCCAACTTAACAATTCAATGGCAAGGTCCCCTCTACTACTTATTTGACATGGAAAAGCATACAAAGGCAAAATCAAATTAGCAACGGGTTAAAATAGTTTGTGCAAGAGTTAAAAATTATCTACAGAGCCAGGGAAATCAAGTCAGGGTTGGATTGTTGTGATATGGACTAGGGAAAAGGGGCAAGGAAATTCCTCCCGTTGGGTCACCAGGTTCAGGGTCGACCTTGTGTTCAGAGCCGTTTCATTTTCAATAGCCAGGATTGCTGCTCTCAAAATTATTTGGAAAGCTAATGCTTCTGTGAATCTCTTCCATGTGGAACTGTTTCAGCTGGTACATGGTTTTCCAAACGCTTGCTCATCAGACAGCAATGTTTTATTATGCTTAAAGGGGTGGGAGAAAGAGTTGAAGCCGAGTGGAGTTTGGGAATGTGACGTAGGAGCCCTTACAACTGCTGCCCATTGCTGTTCTGCCTTGCCACGAGATCGGGGATCTGCATCTACCGTGGGTTTAGTATGTGTTTATGGTGTTTTCAGTCAGTTTCTACTGAATTGAGCCTGACCTAAGAAATTCAACCCAGCAAGATGTTTTTAACAGTTTTACATTTAATTTAGGATCTTTGAAGATGCATCCATTTTATGAAGGCAGAGTGACTTCTGTTTCTGTAAATCCTGACGCAGTGTAGCGCTCAGCTAAGGGTCTGCATCACATGCTTAAACACAAGGGTTCTTTATTGCTCTTTAATCTGTGTTTTAAGCTTTAGATGCAGATTTCTAAGTTACTGGAAGAGAAAAGGTGTTTTGAGTACTTATAATTCAAAA